GCGAGACAAAGTGAATAATCAATGTGCACGAAATTATGTTAAGTAGACTATGACTTTCATTATCCGCCGTAAGTCAGAGCGAGCGTACGAGCGAAAACGGCGGGGATGATGCGGTTTCGGGCCGCAGTCGGGAGAATGCGTGAGAAATGTAGAGGCATTTATCGCCGTATGGATACGTAACGTCATGTGCTCGGGTTTTGAACAATGTAGCTAATCCGACCGAAAGTGTTCTACGGTTGGGCGTAGCGAGATAAGGCTCGCCATGGAATAATACCCGTTGGATTACGCCGGCGTGTAATCTGCCTTTTACCTTCCATTATTTTATGTCTCAGTTTCCATTTATGTAATTAGATAACCGTGAAACAATGTGGGACTATTTGTTCCTAAATGGGAAAAAGAATTTCGTTAATTATACGCGCCCGACCGCCGGCTAATGAAATATCTATACTAATTACGATGTCGGCGATAATTCGTTTTCTTTTCTCACCCGCGCGTCGCGTGTATTCACCCGAGTCGAAATTTCGCCACCGTGTTAAACCTTGAATTCTACAATGGTGATAATATTTATAAATACAGCACTGTAAATAAGTACATTTTGCGTTTCACGTAACGTTAGATATATATTTTACGCGACGCGAATCCGATTCGTAATCGTGAAAAATCAAATTTTCCGCCGCGGTACGCCGGTATTCGGCTTCATATCCGAGTTCCTTTCACATATCAATCGGATTACGTTGCACGGAACAATAAGAAGATTATTGATGACGAAGTACGATCTGCGATACAGATATGATCTCATGGAGGCGGATAAACGACGACGTTTGACGGGAACACGGGAGGCCGCGCGAAGAAAGTAACAATAATTTGGCGAGATGCCTCGATTTTTCAACCGGCCTCATTACTCTTTCTCGCGATTTCCTACCCTCTCCTCTTTTCTCTTTTTTTTTCCTCTCTCTCTTTTTAAGCTCCCCTCCTGGTGTTCTGCCCGTTTGATAAATAGTTCCTGGCAGTTTGACCTTTCGATGTGAATTCACGAGAAAAGACAAATCGATTCCGTTCCCGAGTGACCCGCTCGTCCGTAACAAATATTACGTCGCTCGATAACCGTCTACAGGAGTGTTTTGTGTGACCCTTCGCGTTTTCAAAGGAAACGAAGTGCCGCGCTATATTAACTGTCTGCGAACTCTGCGTCGCGTCTTCTTCGGAGCCAAGAACATCGTGCTCTCGTCGTCGTCGCTCCCACCGGCGGTGGAAATATCGTGCCGTCAAAAATTTCCGTATATACACGCGGCGATAAAATTCCGCTCGCTCGCTTCGCAACGATCACGCAATCCCGTGACTACGTTACATCACTCGCGCGGAGGCCACGTTTTACGGTGCTTACGTGAACCATGACGGAACGTAAAGTAAATACCGCGGAGACTTGAATAGTCTGAACGTATCCGCGTAAACCCCCCGGGGACGCGCGGGGGAGGTCACCGTGCCGGGTAGGTGGGATGGTATGCGGTATCGCGATGAAAGGCCGAAGCTCCGAAAAGCTGTCTCCTGATTGCGCGTAACCGCGCCCGCCGCCAAGATTGGTCCATTAATCTTACCACGGACGCACGCGATATCAGAGTTTCACGAGGAGGCAGCGCGTCCTAAATAAACGAGCGGTCGCCCGAAAACACGGCGGCGCTGTCGCGGAAAATGCAGTCGCGCAATTGCGCGCAGTAGCTGCAGCTGTACGAGCGTGCGGCGAAAAGAAAAGGAAAAAGCGAGCGAGCGCGGCGGAACGGCCCGCAACAGTGCGCGAAATCCAACAATGAAACCTTTCTTAGCGGGTGCGGCTGTTAGCGTAAGCTTGAATGGAACAGCGGTCGCGGTCAATGGAATTCAGTTATCCAAGTTCGAGCGTAACAGAAAATTTGAAAATGCGCCAGAGAGAACGGGCGAAGATACCGTGAAAATATGGCAACGCCAGAGAAAACACGCGGAGGCGCGCATTGTCGCTGCGGTTTTTATCGCGCGTCGGGGTGTTACTCGGGAGAGAGAGAACTTTTATGCATAACGCATCGTAAACATATTCCAGATGCATATATTACAATGTGTGTTTGAAAAAAAAAAAAAGCAAACATATATACAAAGCCAGGAAATATTGTGAAGCACGTAAGTCACACACAGAGAAACTCGTGAAACATTCATTCGTACGGCTAACGAACGCGTTTGCCGCGTTTATTCCGAAAAATTTCGCCCGCGCGTTTATTATAAATTAATCTCGTAGAAATTTACATAGATTTTTTCCCGCTTGTTTTATTTTCTCTTTTCGTTTGTTGTCTCTGTGTGAGCGTGTGTGTGTGTTTTTTATCATGCTCCATACGACACCGAACTTACGCGGGAGCACGCAACATTTCGACAGATTTATGCTCGTCATTAATTTATTGCGCACGCCGTGCGCGATTACTCACGGCGCACGTAATTATAATTTCCAATTTTCACTTGCGCAGAAGACATAAAACGCGCGATATATATTGGCTTTTACAAATTTACATTTCCCTCGTGTAATCTACTACTCCCGTGCTCATAATGCAAGTAATTTTACCCTCTGTCATCTGCGAATGTAATTATCCTCAAGTTGCTCCGTGGCTCGCATTTATGAGACGCACGAAGTTATATAACTATCGGGGAAGCGCCGTCACCGAACATCGTTAAACTCGCGACAAACGGTTGTCATAATCTCCAAGTTTAGATAGTTTCGTCACCTCGAATTCACGTCGGAAAATATCGCGACGCTATCGCGCGTTACTACCCACAAAATTCGCGACGATTCGTATAAGCCCGACAACAATTCGGACGTGCGCGCTCCGCGCTGCAAATAAAATGCGACGCCGGCGTTTCGCGTATTTACCTCGTTCGTTTAAAGTAGTCCAGTAAACTTTTTAATCCCGGATACGACGTCTAATCCTCCTACCTTGTTAATGGATATATGGCGTATCTGGACGTCCCGAAGAAAAAGATGAAAATGCGGCAATTCCAGAGAGAGGGATATGTATTATTGTATCCGTCCGTCAGACTGACACGTCAGAGACGAAAAGCCGCAAATAAAATATTCCCCCCGAGGTAACAAAATATTCCCTTTTTGGAATTAAGGGCTTTCAAAAAGTAGCGAATGCAAAGGACTTTTTTTTTTTTAATTTAACCGAGAGAGAAGCCCGCCGACAAACACACGTCAATCGCTGAAAACACTGCCGCGCGCTCTCGCAGCTGCGCAAATTAAAAATTGTAATTATATAGATCGCGGACGCGATAAATACCTTTATAATTCTCGAAAACGCCAACGGGGAAAAAGTGGCAGCGTCCGGCGCGAAAATACAGCCGGATGAAATGACCGACTGTAGCTATTATCAATAAGTTCAAAGCTTTGCTCTGATCCGAGCGTAGGCTAGCGGGCATTGTGGACGCGCACCGCTCGTGTGTACGTGCGTGTCTGATTGCTCGCTTTTATTATCGATGGATTTAATGGCCGCGCGGGCCGAGGAGCGTCCGATTTATCTTTCAAACGTATTGAAAAGCGCCACGAGGCATTTTAAACAACGCGCTGTAATTTCACACTCGTCAGGACTCGGCTCGGTTGCCGCGCTCTGCAGTCATTCGACATCCTATCTTTACGCTGCACAGCGCGCGGCCCATTGTGAGGGAGCGACCGAGAGCCCGACTACGCGATCGAGTTTCGTGACTTTTACTCCCGATCGAAAATATCCGCGGTTGCATTACGAAGCTCGCCGACACGGTTCCGCCGCAGCGACACGGTCGATCGATCCGCCCGGATTTTCCACGTTTTCCTCGTCCGTTCAAGTCCACACCGCTGTGAGAACTATCGACTAATGTTAACGACGGAAATTGACGAAAAGGGAAACGGTTCCTCGCTGATTGGTTATCCGCTATTGCTCCGCTTCGCCTGCCATCTTAACGCCGGTTCTTCCACTTTCGGGTAAATTTATCGGATAAATATCTGAGGAACGTTCTCGCATGGGAATAAACTACAAGAACAGAAAAATATTACTGGTATACTATCGAGGAACATTATTGAAGAACAGTAACATACCGATGATTTTTTCGTATTGCAATTTATTTCCATATGGGAACGCTCTTCAGATATTTGTCCGTTGGATAAATTTACCTGAAAGTGGAACAGTCGATTCTTATAAAGGAATATTTTATTGAACGGCCCGGATTCGCGCCGAGAAACCTGCGAACAACCGGGATGCATTTTATTTACGGATCAAATCGTAAAGTTATGTCCCGGTCAGACGCGATCTTTCAGAGAAGTATTTCGTCCCGCAGAATTGAATATTTAATTACGATTTCCGATGTCGCGAGCAAACTTTCAGGAACCGGGCGCAAATTCAATACGATGCTGTCGGTGTGAATCAGGTGTTCGTCACGCTGGATACTCGAGCATCTCTCCGCGCGTTAACCGAATTCACGAGTAATACCCTGCTACTCGAAATCGTGGGTTCCGATTTAGTGGATTTCGATTAAACTGATTCACTGATGTTTTCAATTTAACCGGATCTTCGATATACTTCACATCGTTACGTTCTACGGTTGCCGCGACGCAGTTCACGCTGATCGTTGTCATCACAATCTCGTATAAACAAGCGAGATGTGCGGGGAAATTAATTTATTTCGAATAACACTCGAAAGAATCGCGAGTACCTCTCGATACGTATCGGTAAAGGGATAACCCAAAGAAATCTTTTTCTCTGTATCGATCATTTGACGAAGCGACGGAGATACTTCGACATACTTCAACATTATGTCCTCTTTAATACGCGAAATTGTATCGTACGCTGCGAATGCCAATTTTCATCCGGAATAATCGTTGAAACATCTCTGAAATATCGTGGAATGTTTCCTCAAGAAAATATATCATTAAAACTATACCGGTTTTATTCGCGCGAACGACAGATTCTCGATCTCCAATATCTCATAACATCCGTATCTCTTCTTCATTGCAGGACGTCAAGCGAGGAATCTGGAGATACTGGCACAGACATTGGGCCACCATCACGGTACGCTGGATGAATCATTATTGGACAATTACGATAACAGTGAGTGACCATACGTTGACGAGAGAACAATTCAGTTGGAAATCGCTAGCGAAAGCCGCTAGGTCTCGTGGGATGTTGCGGGAATGCACTCGATGTCGAAAATCGGACTCACGTGGCCGCATGTTGCGAGTGTCAGCCGGGACCGAGCATTATCGTCCTTGTTGTTTGCGTTAAAGGCCAAAATAAACTACGAGACACCGGCGCTTTCGCGCTGTGTTAACGGCTGCATGTTTATGCGCGCACGTATATACACGTGTGCAGGTATGCACGAATATGCGTGTGCGAATGTGAGAATGCGCGTACGTCGTACGTGGAGTCGCGGGCGCCCCGTGAAATGGACCATTTCGCGCTTCCGCGTGCTGCACGCTCGCCTGCTTGTAAAATAACTTTCTCCCCTCCCCAGCCGCGATTCGATTCTTGCCCATAGCGCCAACCTCGGGCTCTTTTCGATATTACACTGGGACGATAAAGCCGCGGTGGGCTTATCGCCGTATCGAGCGCAGATTGTTTTATACCTATAATCTCCATTGAAAATAACCGTATTGCGTGCGAGTGCCATCGCCTAGCAATGGATTTTTACGGTGAACGGGAAATTTTTTTCCCGCTCTTTTTCCTCCGTCGCGCTGTATAGCGATTGTTTCTTGCGGGAGACGGTGAGCGTCAACGAGTTGTCTTCCGTCGAAACCCGTATGACACGTTGCGAACGTCTCTGGTGAATGAAGCACTTTTCTTTCTTAAATAATAGCACCACACGTGATAAAGTTTACGTTAAATATTTGTGCGGTGAATTTTTAATTTTGCTTCACACTCCTACGGTATATGCGGTCGTGTAAAATTGATCCCATTGTCGCCGGAATGTCAGATATCGCGATTAAATTTTAACGACAATGCCATTTCGCGGACTACATTTTCTGAATAGTCACGATGTTAAACGGACTATTAATGAATAGATTAAAGACATCAACGCTCAAGTGTTAAATGGAATTGAAAATTGATGCGATTAGGAGTTAATTATGCTGATTTAAATTATGCCGGAAATTACGTTAGGTTATTATGTAGATTTTCTCAAACGAGACGCGTCACGGGTAATCCCGCAGGAAACAATTCCCTTTTCGGACAGAAAGTAACACAGTGTACCCCATAATGACGTAGTAATACGATAGAATATCCACGCAGTTGTTTCCAGAGTCAGAGTTACGACTTTCCCGGCCTTTTGCGAACCTGGCTATACCGGGACAGCTTTAACGACCAGATTTACGGAGACATTTATGATCCCGTCGCACAGGAAATTACGAGAATTGCTTTAAATGCTCCTTTTTTCATCAGCGTGGAAGCTCACGTTTTGCAATAAGGAGGATGTCGTCCCGTTGCGATAGGTTCCGCGAGTGCTTCGCAACTATGACGTTCGAATCATAACTCAGAGATGCAGAATAACGTTATTAGCATCTTGCGTTACTTTAGCGCCTCGAAAGTTATCCCCGTTATTTTGCATGCATCTGTAAATCAAGCGTAAAGGCAACAACGGAATTAGGGAGCGCACACTGAAAAACCCATTTAGTTAACTCAAACAAAATACTTATATGGACAAATGTAGTGGTTGTGAGAACCAAAATTTGGTTCTCCGAACCAAACCTTTTTCATTCTCGTTCTACAGAACCAAACTTTGGTTCTCATAACCAAAATATTTGCTTGCCTATATCCAAACAAGTATGCTGTTAGAGTCAACTAAGTGGGTTTCTCAGTGCATGCTGCTGTTCGATAACATGAGATAAATACGAAATAATTATTATCACTATGAATATCTTCGAAAAATGAAAATATTTCCTTGGCGACTTGATGGAGATGACAAAAATTACATTTATAGAAGATACTCGAGATGATGATCATCAGTATCATTGCAATTTTTGTTAGGTAAATTTTTCTCCTGCTCTGAAATATCGAAGACATCCAAGATGGCAATAGTTATTATCTCACTCTGTACACAGTAAAAAAATTGTATGCTAAAAACGGTCTACTACAACACATGTTAATAAGGAAAATGTGTTAATTTAACATTATATTTGTATACTTTTTAACACATTATTCGTGTTAAAATAACACGAAATTTTAGTAGACCGTTTTTAACATAAAATTTTTTACCTAAACGTTTTTAACAATAAATTAAAAAAATTTTTTTTATGTGTATAATCTGCACATTGCATAGCCAACACGATGATTGTTAACGTGTAAAAGTAATATAATATCGAAATATTTGATAAGAATTGTTAAAGAGTCAATTAACGCACTCGGATAATTAAATATTAATTGGGGATTTGGGGAATTAATTAATAATTGGGATACACTCGATTTGACGAGGAAGAGAGACTCTCTGCGTACGTTTATAAGTCTAGTTTTTCCGTCAGCGTGTACGATAACACTGTCAAATATATTATCCTCTCATTTAAATTTATTCGCACCAACAACTTGTACTCAGCTCTTATAAATCTTTCTACGTTTTCCTGTGGAATATTTGATATTATGCACGGGAAAAATATTGTAATAAAAATTATTACAAAACTTTTTAATGTTGGATCATATCGGAATTATAACTGAAATTAATATGTTATTATATTATTATAATCTTTAGTAATATATACAAGGAAGTACATCACTAAAGATTACAACACACATCATAATTTCAATTATAATTTCGGTATGGTGCAACATTATATAATTTTAAATACTACAATACTTTCTCCGTGTAGGCTTTCGCGAAGGTGGGTATAGATACTTAATTTGGCTTCCGAGTCAGCTTCCGTGTCCCTCATGGATCTGTTTCCTTCGGAACAAATCCATGAAGTACGAGACGCTAATTCCGATGCCAAATGAAATAACGAAATATTCCCATCGTATTCTCTCCGCGCCTTTTTAATGTTGCGGCTCTGCGAGAAGTCGCCTCTCTCTAAATTTCTCGCGCCGGTGTCCTACATCCGGGCACGTACGCGATCAGCGTACCGGCAAGTCTGAATCCTCAATAGCCGTGCCTTTATGACTAGCAGCGACAAATCCCGGCGGGATTCCGCGAATCGAAACGAACGTCCCGCTTTCGCCCGGCGCGGCTTAATAACCATTTGCATATGTCTTATCGGTCGATATCAGACGAGTGCGCCCGGCTAGGAGCGGAGCAGTCGTCGAATCCCGACGTCAGATAAAAATATATCAGCCGCGTCACAAAAGCCGGATGAAATCTCGCCAACTCCACCTCATCCGCCCACTCATCCAAGTCCCCCTCGCGCCCCTCGCACCGCTGCCTACCGCTTTCGTCGCTCTCTCCCACGGTTCGTTCTCCAGTTCCCTAGTTCTCCACATTCTCGTCTTTCTCGTCAGGATTCTAGTCCGCCTTTTTGTTCGCGAAAATCCGCGGCGAAAACCTCTCCTGCGGACGGAAGACGGGGGAGAGAGAGAGAGAGAGAGAGAAAGAGAGGAAGCAAGAGAGGGAGTTTCGGTATGCAATGGTTCTCTAAGTGCCTCCCAGTCCTCGTCCCACGTCTCCCTCTATTTGCCCGTCCCGCACCGATCGATATCGCCAACACCCGTGATTCCGAAGCCATGTGCCGGCTTCCGCGTCGGGACGGAAGGCATCGGCACCGCGCTGCGACGCGCGCCGGTCGTAACGTCAGTGTTCGACGGAACACGCGCGAATCATTCGTCACAATGGTGACGCGCCACCGCTCGACTTACACCCCCGCCGTAGTTTCTCCTACTCCCGGAGAAGTCTATCGCTACGTCCGTAACGTAACGCGCGTTCGGCGTTTGCACCTTCCTTCCATTCTTCCTTTCCTCCCTCTTTCCTCCTTCCTTCCTTCCTTCCTTCCTCTCTTCCTTCCTTCCTTCCTTCCTTCCTTCCTTCCTTCCTTCCGATTTCCCGCTCCACCTGTTCCCCCGACAAGAGAATTCCCCTTCCGCCTGAAACGCGATCTCGCCGCCGTGTGCGCCGAGACTAATCGGTAACATGGGCACTCGGGAAATCTTACGATCTGACCAATTTCCCGGGAAACGGGACGACAACCCTTACGTTCCGGGCGGAATCAACGTTTCTTTGCACGATAATTTGCGATGTTTCGCCAACCTAGATTTCTCGCGAGATCTTTAATATAGATATTCGTTGTGTTTCAACCACTGTTGCAATTGATGAGAACAATAGAGATACGCATCGCGAGAGTAGCAGTATATCTATGTACAAGCGTGAATGCGTATATAGAGTTTTCACAACGCGAAACGTAAGCACACTGAAGCAGCACACAAGATAACTCGTCACGCGTTAATTATGTTTTGGACAAATCGGTAACATGTGCACTCGGGAAATTTAACGATCTGACCAATTTCCCGGGAAACGCGACGTCACGCGTTAATTATATTTTAGTGTTTAAATCTCTCTCGTGCGCGATCTAATTCGAACTTCGAATCGAATTCTTACCATTATTTGGTGGTTCGATAGTGTTTATCAAAGTATTTTTTTTTTCATGTACGTTAGAATAAATGATAGCATTTATTTTGAGAGGTAGAGCTTGTATAAAATGTACTGAATATTAAATCGTCGTTTTCTTCGAAATATATGTTATCGTTTTAATGTTATATGAATATCAAAACTTACATTCCGAAATACTGTAACGTAATGTGTAATATTTCAGGAGAATATATTAGTAACGAATAACGAGGGCAAAGAGACCGAGATACTTTTGTGTGTCTGTCAATATCGGATTTCAAGCGGGGTGAAACAAAAACGTGTTTTACATAATGCGAAAATAATCAGAAAACTTTTAATCATATGGAACCAATAACGCTAACTAATCGGATACGCCAGCTAGACCGTTAATTAACCGTCTCAACCGTGGAACAGGATGGATGACGAATAATTTAATGCTTACGATTCGTTTGCACCCTAATCAACCGAGTAGCTTGCGCTAAGCCGGCAATGTGGGGAGCTGGGGGTTGTTTAGATAAACCATAGGCATTATTTG